CCTGCTTCCAAGCTTATTTTACCTGGGGAACTCCACCAAACACTGTCTACCATAGGTAATCATTATTGCATATGACACATCAATGTCACAATATTCATCATCACAGCAACCATGAGTTACCTCTGTACAGCAAATGGACAGACCAGTGCTATACCACTTAGAAGAATGTTTGACCAAAAATTATTAAAGCCAGGCCTGAGGGCCACAGATTAAAATCTCCCACCTTTGGCTTGGTAGCATCACTTTCTATCCACTAGGCCAACAGAGCTCTCTCGTTGTTGTTGTTAGGTGCTGTCGAGTCGTAGATGACTTATAGCGATCCTATGAACAAAAGACCTTAACACTTGTATGTTGAATAATTACCAAGATAAAGATTAATGCATTTCAGAATATCCTATTAGTTCACAGTATTTAACAACTTTGAGCTCTGATTCATTCACCAGTTATTAAGTGAATACTGGGTGCTATAATTACCTCCTTATTCTCTTTTCATCTAAATTGAAAGCTCTTGGAAGACAGCAGCTTTCACCATATGCTCCCTAAGTGTAGCACAGTGTGTAGAGACCGTGAATATTGTAAGGGCTGTGGGTGACTTGTTTTGACAGAAGTCCAGATACTGAAGCACCTAGGTGTAGGTTTCCCAAATGCAGGATTTTCAGTGCTTAAACCAAGACAGTCTAGGCACATGTTCAATTGGTCACCCTAATTTATAAGACATTGTGACTCAAGCTATAGTGGGACGTTGCATGGGATGCTGGGGGCATCCAGGAAGGAATCTAATCCAGACTTTGGAAGCTATGGACAGTTTCCTAAGAGATGTGGTCTTTGAGCTGACATCTGAAGGTTGAACAAGTGTTAGACAGGCAAAGAAGGACCGACTAATTTTACCTATTTCATAACATTTGCATATGCTGGTTGTACTCTTCTGTGAGTGAGCACCACCTTTAGGGTTCATGCATAGCCTGTGGACAAACCTTACGTGCAGCATCCTGTGCAAAGGAGGATATGGCCAGGACCCCGCAGCTGTCCTCATCGCTCTCAAGCCTTTAGATTTTCCTGCTGTGTACTATTTCATGAGAGGCTATCAAAAAATCGTTCCCTTATCCTATACTTGGACCAGGAGGCAGTCATTAGAACAGAGCAGGGAGACACTGACTGGTTAAAAATTTGGAAAGGAGTGTGTCAGGGATGCATCTTAAATCCATACCATTTCATTCTATCAGAGGAACAGATCGTTTGGGAGTCTGGACTTTATGAGGAGGAATGTGGCATCAGAATTGGAGGAAAACTCATTAACAACCTGTGTTATACAGATGATACAACCTTGCTTGCCAAAACTGAGGAGGACCTGAAGCCCTTACTGAAGGTTAAGGACTACAGTCTCTAATATGTATTGCATGTCAACATCAAGAAAACAAAGATTCTCCCCACGGGGCCAAATGACAGCACCATGGTAGTGAAGAGATTGAGTTTGTTAACAATTTAAGCTTGCTCAGTTCCACAATCAACGCTCTTGGCACCAGCAGTCAGGAAATCAAAAGACAAATTACATCAGGTAAGTGTGCTGTCAGGAACCTCTCCAGAGTGCTGAAGAGTAGTGATGTCAGTCTAGAGACTAAGGTGCACCTGATTCAGACCATGGTCTTCTCAGTTACTTGCTGTGCATTAGAGAGCTGGACAGTGCTTTAAGCATCAATGCCTTTGAGTTGTGGTACTGGATAAAAGTATTGAATATACTATAGACTGCCAAGAGAACAAAGGGGTTATGTCCTGGAGAGGGTGAGATGAGCCTGCTCCTTGAAGGCTAGGATTTTGAAGTTCCATCTCACATACTTTGGGCATGTTGCTAGGTGGTACCAGTCCTTGAAGAAGAACATCATGCGCGGAATGGTGAATGGACAATATAAGAGAGGAAGACCATGGATGAGATGGATTGATTTAGTAACTGAGGTTTTGAGGCCAGGTGTATTGGGGATGGTGAGATAGTCTCAGAATAGGACACGGCTCAGAGCTGTTGTGCATAGAGTTTCCATGGGTGCCTCAACAGTACCATATCAACAACGTGTTTCCAAAATACTTTTCATGAGGATTTGTGTTGGGTAGAACATTTGTCTTCTGGACATTTTTGTAGCACTAATTTATGTTAGTAGAATCTGTATCGGTGCTGCATTCAAGATTGGCCCCTTTCTGTTCCATCTTTTAGTGTCTCTTCCTTTCTCTCTCTCCTCTAATCATGCTCTATTTCTTTGGAAAATTTTCCCCCTTCTTCTCCCTTTCTCTTTCCTTAAGTGTGTTCTACTCTTGACAGCCAATAACATTCCTAGATTTTTGCTTTAGACCTAAAAAAAAGGAAAACAGAAGTACATAGTATGCAACGTTTGTCAGTGGAGTGTTTTTCACGTGTATGGTTATGTGATATTGACTGTATTAATCATGTTGTGGTAACAATCAGCCATTTCTACTGCCATCACCATTACAGAAATGGACTGCATAATAAGATATGACTCCCCTTTTTCCCTTTCCTGGTCTCTACATATCTGCCTATTCTAGATATCCTACATAGTTTATATATGCTGTTTATCTTTTTTGTGTGTTTCACTTGACATAATGTCTTCAGGTTTATTCATGTTGGAGCATACAGTCTTCATTTTTCTTTATGGCTGAGTAATATTCTATTGATTTAGATTAGTAGGAACTCTGGTTTAGAAACTCTAGTATCCCAGTGTTATGTTGTTTCACTGGCAATGTAAAGGTACTCAGTTCATATCCACTGATTGCTCCATCGGAGAAAGATGAAAAATCTCCTCTAGTACAATTAACTTCCTCTGAAAACCCACTAGAGGGTCAGCTATAGGTCGTTTCCAACCCAAAGGTACACAGCAAGAATAACAATATTCTTTGTGTGAATATACTACATTTTGTTTATCCATTCATCTGTTGCTGGGCACTTGAATTGTTTCCTCCTCTTGCAACTGTGAGTTGTTGTTATGTGCCATCAAGTCACCTGCAATTCATAGTGACCCTGTGTACAACAGCTCTGAAGCCTGCCCTGTCCTGAGCCAGTCTCACTAACGCCAACACACCTACTCCCATTACCCCAGTTACTGTATCAATCCATCAATCTATCTCATCTGGGGCTTTCCTCTCCTGTGCTGTTGCTCCACCCTTCCGATGTCCTTCACCAAAGACCAGTCCCTCCTGGTCACGTGCCCAAAGTATGTGAGATGGAGCTTCAACTTGGTTTCACCCTCTCCATGACAGACCTGTTTGTTTTCTTGGCATTCCATGGTATGTTCAAAACTCTTTTCCAGCACCAGAACTCAAAGGAATCAATTCTTCTTTAGTCGTTTTCAGTCATTTTTCCAACTCTCTGATGCATGCAAGTAATTGCAAAGATCATGGACTGGATCAGGCACACCCTAATCTCTAGACTGACATTGTTCCTGGAATATCAATTGGCATATTTCAACAAACAGATGCTGCCCTGGATGTACTCACCAGGTTGTGCTAGAAATCTGGATGACAACTACCTGGCCAACTGACTGGAAAAGATCCGTATTTATTCCGGTTCCAAAAAAATGTGACCTGACAGAGTGTGGAAATTATAGAACAATATCACTAATATCACATGCAAGCAAAATCCTGGTGAAGATTATCCAAAAACAATGGAACAGTGCATTGATGGAGAACTACTAGAAATACAAGCTGGGTTTAGAAAAGATTGTAACACTAGAGACATTATCACCAATGTAGGATGGACCTTGGCAGAAGGCAAAGAGTGCTAGAGGAATGTTTGTGTTTTATTGACTATTCAAAGGCATTTGACTGTGTGATTACAACAAATTAGGCTAACCTTGAGGAAAACGGGAATCCCAGAACACTTGATTTGTGCTCAATAGAAACCTACTCAAACCAGGAAGCAGTCATCAGAACAGAGCAGGGGAACACTGTATGGTTCAAAATCAGGAAAGGAGTGTATCCTGTCTCCATACCTTTTCAATCTATATGCAGAATAGATTATTCGGTAGGCTGGGTTTTATGAGGATGAATGTGATATCAGATTTGGAGGAAGACTCATTAACAACATATGTTATGCAGATGACACAACCTTGCTTGCCAAAACTGAGGACGACCTGAAGCACTTGTTGCAGAAGGTCAACGACTGTATTCTTCAATATGAATTGCATCTCAGCATCAAGAAAACAAAGATTCTCATCACTGGGCCAGTTGATAGCACCAAGATAAATGGAAAAGAGATTGAGGTTGTTAAGAATTTCAGCTTGCTGAGCTCCACAATCAACACTCTTAGCACCAGCAGTAAGGAAATAAAAAGACAAATTGCACTCAGAAAATTTACTGTCAGGAACCATGAGTAGAATTGCTACGAACTTCAGTGTACAAGTATCTGTTTGTATTTCTAGTTTTGATTTTTTAGGGTATTACCTCAAAGTGGTGGTCTTGGGTCTTATGTTAATTCTGTATGTATCCTTTGGATGAACCATTATACAGTGTTTCATAAAGATTACCATTTTACATTCCATTAGCAGTAAGGAGGTTCTAATTTCTCTACATCCTATGAGCTTTGCTTTGCAATTTTGCCTCCTCCAAAGTTTGTTGCCTGTTGTGTGTTGTTACTATTAGAATGACTTAACTGTTCCTTTTTGCTTGGAACTGTCCCAATTTTAACACTGAAAGACCTACATACTGGGAAACTCCTCACTTTAAAAAAAATTTTTTTTTATCATTTTTTTATGCATGTACTGTCAAATCGGATCTGACTAGTACAGGAGGAGATTGCCCCTCCATCTCAAGCAGAGCATCTGGTGGGAAACTCCTCACTTACAGAGGGTTGGAAACCTGCTCTGTCACATGCAACTTGAATGATTATGACATTTTGTTTTCTTGCCTTTAGTATGCAAATAATTTTCCTCATAGACTGTACTGTCAGCTGATGCTGTGTCACAGGAAATGGGTAATCTGTCTTCCTGTTTAATATTTAGCCAAAGGCTTTTGAACAATACTTGAATATGGAAGACAGCAGACTGCTGAATCATCTGAAGACTTGTTCTGCGGTGTCCAAACTTCCGTACGATCTCTGGTTCAAGAGGTGCTTTGCAGGATGCTTGCCTGAGTCCAGTCTACAGAGGCAAGTATTTCTTTCAGCAGCATTTTAAAAGCTTAGGTCGGTGGGGTTTTGTCTTGTCATCATTATGTAGAACATAAAATTACTTTAGAAAAGTACAGTTAACATCTCCAACTGTTAACAATACCTGGCTCTGTTTATTATTGAAAATACAAGTAGAAAGTTGAAGACCCTCAATGTGTTAGATGTTATACACTATTACATTTGTAATTACACTCCAGAATTTATGCAGACATGGGCTTTTCCTCCCCTAGAGATATGGTAGATATTAATCTAGAAAAAAATCTTATTATTTATCAGTTTTCACCTTATTATTGTTTGTTATTTTGTACCCTTGAGTCAGAACCAACTCATAGCTGACCCTCTAGCATGTTTTGAGAGGCAGTAAATCTCACAGGAAGAGATTGCCCATCTTTCTTTCTCCTATGTGCAGCTGATGTATTTGAACCACTTGCCTTTAGGTTGGCAGTGCAACTCCTTACCAGTAGGCTACCAGAGCTCTTGTATCATCATGGCATCATTCCACAGTTTGGGCCTCAGACTCTGCCTATTTAATCCATTACAGATATTTGTTGACAAGTACAAGTGGTTCCCAAAGCAGCTCACTGAGTCCTGCTCTAGCCCTTCATGAGATTATGATGTAGTTGAGAAGAAAGGCAGTAGGGCATTACAAGATAATATATAACTAACTATATATAATGACCTTTTGCTTTCTTCATAGATGATATCCTTGATATCATCCCACAACTCATCTCATCCTCAGTCATTGATGTTCAGTGCCTCAAACCCACTCTTAAGATGGAATTGATTCAAGATCGTATCTTGGTTCCTGTGGACTTATTTTCATTTCCTTGAGCCTCAATATGAACTTGCATATTGAGTAATTGATGATCTGACCCATAGTCCGCCCTGGCCTAGTTTTGATCTCAATGTCAAGAAAACAAAAGATTCTCACCACTGGACTGATAGGCAGTGTCATGATGGATGGAGAGGAGGCTGAAACTGTCAACAGCTTCAGCTTGCTTGGATCCACAGTTAACACCTTAGGAAATAAGGAGATGCATAATACTTGGAAAAATTGCAGTTAGAAATCTTTCCAGATTATTGAGGAATAATGATGTCAGTTTGAGGAGTAGGGTGCATCTAATTCGGTCATAGTCTTTCCAGTTACTTGCTGTGCATCTTAGAATTGGACAATAAGGATGACAGAAAAAGAATTGATGCCTTTGAGGTCTGTGGTTTTGGAGAAAAGCACTGAACATCCCATAGACAGCCAAGAGAACAAACAGTTATATTTTGGAGAGGGTGCAGCTGGAGTGCTCTTTGGAGGCAAGAATGATGAGGCTTTGTCTCACATACTTTGGGCTTGCTGCTAGGAGGGGGCTATTCCTTGGAGAAGGACATGATGCTGAAAAAGGTGGAGGGTCGGCAAAGGAGAGGAAGACCCCAACTGAGTGGACTGACACGGTGATTACTGCAGTGGGCTCTTGTGTGTTAGGAAGTGTGAGGATGGCGCAGGATAGAACAGGATTCGGCTCTTTTGTTCATAGCGTCACTATGAGTCATACACAACTTGAAAGCACCTAACAACAACTATATATAGACAGTATAAGGATCTGTGGTGGCATAATCTTTAGTGACTTCACTGCAAACTGAAAGACTTTGTGTCTCCAGCAGTTCAAATTCCCTAACAGTGAAAGATGAGCAGTCTCTTCCCTTTACAATTTACAACTCAGAATCTGTTGGAAGGTCTCTGTGAATTGGAACTGACTCAGTGTGTGTCAATGAATGAGTGAGTCAATGATAGGGATGATATAGTATCAGAAAATGTCAGAGTAATTGTTTTAGTGTGCTAACAGGTCAGTAGGAGTTCCTGGGTAGTTCATGTGGTTAACACACTTGCTTCTAACTGAACAGTCCACCCAGGTTAATAAAAATTAAGACATATTTGCATTGGGAAAGTCTGTTGTCAGAGACCTCTCCAGAGTACTTAAAAGCAATGATGTCAGCCTAGAGACTAAGGTGCACCTAATACAGGCCATGGTCTTTGCGATCACTTGCTATGCATCAGAGAACCAGACAGTGAATAGGGATGATAGAAGGAGAATTGATGCCTTTGAGCTGTGGTGTTGGAGAAGAGTATTGAATATGCCATGGACTGCTAAGAGAATGAACAGGTTCATCCTGGAGAGGGTTAAACCAGGCTGCTCTTTGGAGGCAAGGATTCTGAAACTTCGTCTGACATACTTTGGACATGATGCAAGGAGGGACCAGTCCTTGGAGAAGGCCGTCATGATTGGGAGGGTGAAGGGACAGCGCAGGAGAGGAAGACCCTAGATGAGATGGATTGATTCAGTGATTGTGATAATGGGGGTAGGTGTGTCAGAGACAGACTGGTACAGGATAGAGCAGAGTTTAGGGTGGTTGTACATAGGGTCACTATGAGTCACAGGTTACTCGATGGCAGTAAATAACAACGGTAAAATGTTAATGAAATAGAAACTTTGGTTTAAGACTTCTCTTCCTTCCTTTGCAGTGTTGGGTTTTAAAGCATTAGACAAGAAGTAGTTGGTAGGGTTGTAGCAGAAGAGTGTTTTTCAGTGTCTTTCCTTTTTCCTTCCAAATAATTAATGCATTGACCATGATTGTTTTAAAGTTGTTTCACAGTTGTTCTTCTCTGGAGGGTGTACTTTAAATAGAGTAATTTTATTTTAATATGTAATTTGAGATGCCTGTTAGATGACCACAAATTTCAAACTCATGTAATTTGATTGTATCTTCTCATTGTTTGCAGAGTTTGGGATAAAGTTGTGAGCGGATCCTGTAAGATCCTAGTCTTTATAGCAGTAGAAATTCTCTTAACCTTTAAAATAAAAGTAATGGCCCTGAACAGTGCCGAGAAGATCACCACATTCCTGGAAAATGTAAGTGTGCCCAATTTGATTTGATTTATAATCTAGACATGAAGTCATTTTAGCAAGGCAGATTTTCCTACTATATTAAATTATTTCAGGGAAATGATTTGGTATAGTTCTGGATTACAAGAAACATTTTTCTGTTTGCAAATTCTTTTCTTTAAAATTGGTCTCTTTGCCTGGCGATGTGATGGTCAAGGCAGTGAGGCTGTAGGCAAGCAGGGGAGGGGAAGCTTTCACTGGAGGGTTATTTTAATAGAAAAAGGATCATAGTATTTAAAGGGATTTTGAAAACTCTCATTTCTGTTACTATCACCAGCATAATCTATCATGAGATTGGTAGTGTGCATAAGTATTAACTTAGTGAAGATGGTGGTAGTGGTTAGGTACCATCAAGTCGAGTACAACTCATGGTAATCCTATAAACAACAGATCTGAACCCTATCCTATCCCACACGATTCACATCATCTCTGACATACCTGAACCCATTGCTGCAGTCACTGTGCCAGTCCATCTCATCGAGGGTTGTCCTTTCTTTCACTGACCCTCCCAAGTATGGTGTCCCTTTCCAAGGTACAGCCCCTCCTAACAACATGCCCAGAGTATGTGAGATGAAACTTTGCTCTTCTTGACTCCAAGGAGCACTCAGGCTGCACTTTCTCCAAGACCTGTTCTTTTGACTGTCAATGGGTAGTCAGTACCCTTGTCCAACACCACAGCTCAAAGGCATCAGTTCTTCTGTCATCCTTATTCATTGTCCAGCTCTCAGATGCCTAGCAGGTGATTGAAAAGACCATGGCTTGAATCAGGCACACTTTTAAAAAAAATATTTTTCAATTTTTTATTTATTTTAGTTTTTTGTTTTTGTGGTGTGTTTTTTTTTTGTGTTTGTTTGTTTGTTTTAGTACCATAGTCCAAACTAACTGACACCTGACCCTCCAGCAGGTTTTCAGAGGCAGTTAATAGTACAGGAGGAGATTGCTCATCCTCCTACAGGACAGCTGGTGGCCTCAGAGTACATGTCTTTGGGATTGCAACACAGCTTCTTCCCACCAGGGCTGGATCAGGCACACTTTTGCCTTTAAACTGACATCATTGCTCTTCAGGATTTTGGCTTTCCTGACAGCACATGTACCAATACAACATGTCTCCTGATCTGGCTGCTGGTACAAAGGGTGTTCATTGTAGAGCGGAGCAAGATGGAATTGTTGACAACTAAAAGTCTTTTCTCCATCTATCATGATTTGACCCAGTGGTGAGGAATTTTGTCATCTTGATGTTGAGCTATAATCCATGTTGAAGGCTGTAGTCCTTGATCTTCTGCAGCAAGCACTTCAGATCCTTCTTGGTTAGAGCAAGCAAAAGTGTGAAGGTTGAGAAAGGTCTAAATGAATGAGCTTTTCCCTCTATGGAGGAGCTATGGTGACATAATCTGTTGGGAGTTGCACTGCCAACCCAGAAGCTATGCTGCTCTTCTTATTTGAATCCATCAGCTGCTCATAAGGAGAAAGATAAGCAGTCTCCTCCCATGAGATTTACCGGCTTCAAAACCCAGTGGAGGGTAAGCTATGAGCCAATTCCAATTTGACAGCAGTGAGTTGGAGTTTCCTTGAATCTATTATAGAATGCTCTTTACCAGGTGAGAAGTGAAGTGGCATGCCTAAATGCATTTCCAGCAGCTGAAACAGCTGAAGCTGGTGGTTTCTGGTTTTGTTTTTTTCAGTCGGTCAATATTAACATTTGAAAAGTCCCTTGCAGATAGTCCTAAATGAATGTGTGCTTAGTAAGTTCATCATCATCGTTATAGTGATTAGTGGCTGATGGTACCAAGACCTATGCTCAGTTTTTCATAGATTAGCTCATGTAATCATTTAGACAACATTATGGAAAGGCCAGCATTATCCCCATTTTAGAGGTAGTGTATACCATGGACTGCCAAAAAATACAACAAATCTCTGTTGGAAGAAGTGCAGCCAGGGTAACCCTTAGAGGCAAGAGTATGAGGCTTCATCTCACGTACTTTGCACAGATGTCAGGACAGACCAGTGCCTGGAGAGGAGTATTGTACTTGGAAAAGGAGAGTGTCAGTGAAGGAGAGGAAGACCCTCAGTGAGATAGATTGATGAGGTGGCTGCTGTAAGGATGGTGTAGGGTTGGCAGGGTTTTCTTCTGGTGTATATGGCATCACTATGACGCATCAGCACCTAACAGCAACAGCTATGCAAGCTGCTCATGGTCACACAGTTAGTAGATAGTGCTGGTTTCGAACTCTGATGATTTGATACCAGAGCTGTGTCATGTTCTCAACTGGCATGTGAAGTAGAATTCCTGATAGCCTTTTTTCCTGCTTAAGTAATTTCCTTGTCAGTCTGTCTATCATTGAACAAAATATATGTGTAACACAATAGTTGACACTTAAACAGTCTTCACATGTGCAATGTGTGACATGAATTATGTCCGTCATGTTGTTCTGTTGTCAGAGACTGCTCCTTCCCTCTTACCCCTGACCATCACTAATGGTCACTACGCACATTTGCTTATTCTAGAGATCTTTCAGTATTTTTCCTGTGACTAATGTTTTCTTAGCATTTAGCAGCTTTTTATGCTGCTACTTTTTTTAACAACAGGGAAAACTCCAGTAGAAACCAGATTTATGTCACAGAAAATAAGAAAGATACTGGAGTTGTTCACACTGAAATTTCATGATGAACATTTTGTTGTCCACAGATTCCCCAGGACAGTTCAGATGCGATTGTGAGCAAGGCCATCGACCTGTGGCACAAGCACTGTGGGACCCCTGTGCATTCAGCCTGAAGATGCCTGGTGCTCGGTACAGTCCACCATGCCTGCATTGAGCATCTTTTTTTGGGGGGAATGAGTGAAAATGATGTTTTTGCTCTGATGCTCTAAATGTAATTTTTTCCTCCCAGTAAAATTATTTAATTAAGATGCCTGCTGTGTCTGTCTTGCTAAACAGCATCTTTTGGGTACACAGTATTCCAGTTTAAATCTGAATAGCATTTTTAAAACGTGGTTGGATGATAACTGCACTCTGGGTTAAAGCCCTTCAGTCAGGGTGAGTGGGCATGTTAGGAAGCAGGGCATAACTAAGCCTGCTTGCCTCTCCCTAATTAGCACCAAGCCAGCTAGTCTAATGCCTATTACTGGAATAAAGAACATCTTCCCTTTGTTAACACCTCAGATTTGGCTTTTCTTGATTCAGTACTTGTTTAATTCTAAGCTGTCTTTTGAGGCTTCATTTTGCTAAATAGACTTTAAATTTAAATAAGTTCTTACTTTCCCCCTCCCCCCTTTGTGAAAAATAAAATTCTTGTTGAAATGAAAGTTACTGAACAAATTCTCCCTGAATTTCTCTTCTGGGTCTTCTAGATGACTTGTTAAATGTTGACGTGAGGACTTCAGGGAATAGGGGTGGGAGAGAGACTGCCCGTTAAATAGCTAGTGGCCTGAGGCCATAGTGTGTCACATAACGGTAACTCTTTAGAGGACCGGCACAGACTCTAAGGTTCAAGTCAGAGAAATGGGACCCTTGATCTAAGACTGCCATGTTGAGGAAGGAACACCGAAATACCACAGTTCAGCTGTCAGGACTGCAAGAATCTGAACTGCTTTTCCATCACCTCTCCCTCCCAATGAGAAGGGAGACAAATGATAGAATTGCACAGTCTGTGAGGATTCAGTTCCTCTCTAATGTGAAAAATATATGCTGACAAAAGAGTTCATTGAATGCCAAGTGGTTCATATTTCTGTATAGTAGCATACCAGTAACTATTATGATTTTAAAAAGTAAGAAAACCCTCCTAGAGTAAAATTGCTGCCTGTAGTTAATCTACTTCTCATTTACTACTTTTCTCATTTAGTGACATTTCATGTTTATGGACATACTACAAAAAATTAACTCTGACTGTTTTGCACATTGATGATGTACATCTAGTCATAACAAATGATGAGTGTGAGACTCGATTTACACTGGCTGTGATGTTGAAGGTACATTTTACTGGGAGATGTGTTTGATGGTTATGTTATTTAATGATGTAATTTTGCAATAACATCATGTTGCACTTTGATAATTGTGTCAGGATGCCATCATTCTCCATTTTATTTTATTTTTTAATCAGTTTTATTTTATACTTGTTTATATTTTGGAAGCAGGAGTGGCACCCACTTCCTAAACAACATGCCTCTGGAAACTCTATGAACTTTGATATATATCAAGTTAGAGAAAAGCTTCAGGCCTTTTGTTCATAGAATCGCTATGAGTCATGCTCAATTTGATGGCAACAAAAACAACAACAACAATAACTGGTTTACATACAAAATTATTAAAGTTCATATACATTGTTTTTCACACCAGACTTTTATATTGATTTGCTTACAGAGTTCATATACATTGTGTTCTATTCAATCATTCCCATTCACTATATTTCATAAAATTAGGCAACACTGAACTATGCTCGTAGTTCACTGAACATCATTCCCCATCTTTTGATTTGGTGTGGTAGTCCCCCATTTTCATCTGACAACCTGGTCTTTGGAACTGAACCCCATTGTTAAGTGAGGAGTGAGTGTACTCTTAAAAAATGACACCATCAACCCTTTGTTCAGTGATTACCCATCTGGGAATGGAAAAGAAAACACAGGACACATCCAAAGAGGAATACCTTTCCTGGTCATCCACTATTAACTGATTGTGGAGGATGTGTGGAATTCAGAGATGTGTCATGAAACAATAGGAATTGTGCTTCTAGTTAAGAAATCAGCTGATTTGCTCATTTCAGTAAGGAAGGCTTATAAAATCCAGGAAGTTCTTTTTTTATGTTGTAAATCTTTTTATTTTCTCTTTCTTGTCATTTTAACAAAAGTTACAGAAAAGTTGGATTTTTCATTCACTCGTTGTATAATTTCTTCCCTCCTCCCCCAACCAACCCCCCCAACCCACTTTGCTATGCATCTGTTGTTCTGGACTATTGTCATACTAATAATGCCAAATCATCATACTAATAATGCCAAATCATATATTCCTTTTAAACAGTTCTTCATCTGTTCCAGTGCAGTGTTCTTTTCTTAGTTTCCCCCAACCCTCATGTCAGTCCCGTTTTATAACAGTAGCATTACGCAGTTTTTGTCCTATTGTGACTGAGATTTCACTCAGCATAGTATCCTCCAGGGTCAACTATGTTGTGTATTATTTTATGAGTTCCTTGTTTTTCATTGCTGTGCAGTATTTGGTTGTGTGAATATACCATAGTTTTTCTATCCATCCATTTGTTGATGGGCACTTTGTTTCCATCTCTTTGCTATCGAGACTAATGCAGCAATAAATATAGGTGTGCTATTTGGGTAACAGCTCTGGTTTCTTTAGTGTATATGTCTTGCAGTGGAATTGCTGGGTCAACTGGTATGCTATTTTCAATTTTTTGAGAAAGCAGCATGCTGCCTTCCATAGTGGTTGCACTATTTTACACTCCCACCAACAGTGAATAAGGGTTCCAGTTTCTCCACAACCTCACCAGCACTTGTTGTTTGCTACTCTATTAAACTTTGCCATTGTTACTGGGGTGAGATGATATCTCATAATTGTTTTTATTTGCCTCACTTAGAGCTAGGGGTTTTGAACATGTCTTCATATGTTTGCTATCTGACTGTCTTCTTTTGTGAAGTATATTCATATCCTGTGCCCATTTTGCAGTTGGGTGGTTTACCTTTTTCTTGTTGAAGTGCTGGAGTATTCTACAGATTTTAGATGTGAGTCCCTTATCAAATATGACATTACCAAATACTGTTTTCCAGTGTGTGGATTTCCTTTTTACCCTGTTGGAGAAGTTTTTTAATGTGCATAGGGATTTAATTCTTAGAAGGGTTCCATTCATCTATTTTGTTCTCTCCTGATAGTACGTTTTTCAAGATGTTTGGCAGACTGTTCATGTTGTGGATTAGGACTTCTATAGTTCTTTCAAGCTTTTCTCTGATGAAGTTTATAGTCCTTGGTCCTTGAATCCAGTTTGAATTGGTTTTTGTGTATGGTGTGAGGTATGGGTCTTGAGTTTTCTACAGATAATTTTCCATTTTACCAACATCATTTGTTAAGGAGGCTTTTGTTTCCCCACTTAACTGATTTCCTCTCCTTGTCAAAAATCAGTGGAACATAGGTAGATGAGATGACTGATTTCTGGGTTCTCAATTCTATTTCATTGATTTATGTGTCTTCACATAAATCTCTTCAGTGGTGCATTTAAACCATTCACATTTCAGTGTCATTATTGAGAAGCATGGTTTTATTATTTTCATTTTTTTGACATCTTTTTGTTGTCATTGCTGGTGACTTTGGCCCATACTGCTTTCTACAGCACCTCTGTAAGAAGGATGCCTCAATGTTTCCTGCAATGCTCATCTTGTTTTTTACAAACTCCCTTAGTTTCTACTTTTCTGAGAATATCTTGATCTCTCCTTCATGTTTGGTGGACAGTTTTGCTGGGTACAGCATTCTTGATTGACAGTTGTATTTTTTGAGTGTTTAATATTTGTCATTCCACTTCTTGCTTGCATAGTTTCTGCTGAGAAAGCGGTACTTAATCTTATTTGCTCTCCCTTAGAAGTTACTCTTTGTTTCTCCCTAGCTGCTTTCAGAATTCTCTCCTTATCTTTGGCTCTAGAAAATTTGATTATGATATGCCTTGGGGTTTTCCTTTTGGGGTCTATTCTATATGGCGTTTGCTCAGCTTCTTGAATATATGTTCTCTCTTTCTTCATTATGCCTGGAAAATTTTTTTCTATTAAGTCTTCCACAACTTTCTCGGTGCCTTTTCTTGCTTTTTCCTGTTCTGGGATTCCGATTATTTGTGTTATTCCTCTTGATGGTGTCCCACATTATTCTTAGGCTTTCTTCTTTTTCCTTCCTTTTTTATTCTACTTTTTTGTTCTAGCATATCAATGCTGATAATTCTAGTTTCTATTTTTCTGTTTCTATGTTCCATCTTTTTAATTCTGCTCATATGTCCCTCCAACATGTTGACAGCATCTGAAACGTCGGTCCTTATATTCTGGGTTGTGGTTTGTTTTACCAGAGCTTCTAATGCCTCATTTGTTTTATCTGCATTGTCTTGAATTGTTTTTTTAAGCTCCTTTTGGCTTTTGCTTGCAGAGTTCTGTAATTCTTTGAGTTTGTCTTTCACCCATTGGAAATATTCAATCATTGTTCTTTTGAATTCTGTGTTAGAAAGTTCATCAGACTTTCTGGCTTCAGGAAATCTACTGAATCTGTGTTTATGATCAATTCTTTTTTTTTGTGAAATCTGTGTAGGATTTTTTTATAGGGTGTGATGCAGTCTGCTTCATCCATGTCATTACGGTGGTAGAGTTTTTCTATGCCTGTGGCCTTAGCAGGCCCTTAGTCTGATAACCTTAGCTCAGGAGCTCACTGCATCAGAGGAGGGAAGGGGAGCTCACCCTACATGAATTTCTCTCTGAACCTTTGACTCAAGGGAAGACTTACTTCAGTTGGAGAGAGAGATGGCCTATAAATTTTCAGCCTTCTTTCCCAAGCAATTGCCCCAGCTAGGCTAGGTGCAAAGGATCTACAGCTCAAATATTGGCTCTAGGAGAGGGAAGGAAATGGCTTCACCTGTGATATTGGTGCTCCTTGTATATTTCAGCATGTGGTCTCCAGGCAGCTGGATGGCAGTCTAGTGCTCCAGATGGGATCGTGGTCTGGGCCCCTGGAACTGAAGCCCCTCGACCTGTCAGTCAATGGTTCTGGTGCCAGCCAGGTTGTGGCTGCACTGGGACTGGGCTGC